GTTAGGTACTCATACGCTGAGCCTGAGTGTTGGGTAAGCCATAATCTCTGGTGCTTTGATAATTTAAATGTATGTTCAGATGATTCAAAAGACTGAATAAATACCTAAATTATTGAGAAAAAAAATAAAAAAATAAATAAATAAAGCAAGTTATTTTCTAAAATAAATTGAACATTTCTTAACCCTTTGACCTCTGCTTTCCAGAACAATTTGAACCTTTCAGCCTGAGCTCTTGAGTCAAAATTCGCAAATAATTAGTATGTAATGTTTCACGGTAGATATAAAAATAGTTACAAGTGTTTACCCACCGTGCAACCCGTACCTGAACATTAAATCCTTTTCACTACACCGTTCAACCGGTGGCTGGGCAACTACGTCATTTTTCTCTATCACCGGTAAGGCGGTTGTCAGGGCTCTAAGGGTTAATATGCAGTAATACTAGGGGGATCAGTTTAGTATTCAATGACAATAGGAAACCGATCCCCTACTTTATGTCCAGTAGAAGCTTTTCTGATTTCTTCAAAATAAGACAACAAATAGCAAAACAGGACGTAAGTGTTTCCCCACCGTTCAACCGGTGGCTGGGCATTACTCCATTTTTCTCTACCACCGTTCAACCGATGTCTCACGTGTTTTGTACTGGGTGAAATTTATTTTAAAAAAAAAGTAAACAGTGTTATAAAAGATATACCAATTCCTTTATTCCTTTGAGCCCTGTTTTCTGAACAATTTGAACCCTTCGGCCTGAGATCCTGAGTCAAAATTCGCAAATAATTGTTTTTTATTTGGTCTGTGTTATTTTACGGCTTATCAACCTGAATGGGTTATTTAATGCCGACAAAATTTTTATTGACGGTAATTTTTTTTTTTTTAATGCATTTCTGGTAATATTTCTTATTCAAAATTCTATCTCAGGTAATATTTTTTCTTCGTAAATGTATAGCTGGTAATATTTTTTTTTTCAAAAACGTATTGCTGATAATATTTTTTTTCAAAAATATATTGCTGGTAATAATTTTTTACAAAGTATTTCTGGTATTAAAACCTATTTTTACATTTTCATCGGGTTTTGACACCAGTTTGGGGGTTAACTATTTACCTATAGATGGGACCTTAACAGGTGCTACCACCCCGGATCAGGGTGGACCTGGGAACACCAGTAATAATAGGTGGTTCCACACTCCTCAAAACCTCCTGATCAGAGGCCCTGCTGTTGGACGCAGTTCATCATCTTACCCAGGACGCGGATGTAGTTTATAGTCATACCCAGGACGCGGATGTAGTTTATAATCATACCCAGGACGCTCAAATAATTGGTATGTATTGTTTCACGGTAGATATAAAAATGGTTACAAGTCTTTAACCACCGTTCAACCGGAGGCTGGACATTAAGTCATTTTTCTCTACCATCGGTAAAGCGGCGGTCAGGGTTCAAACAGTTAAATGTTTTTCTCAAGGTTTTGTCCAGTTTATTTTTTATTATGAAAAAAAAAATGGATCAATTTTTTGCTGTTTCTAGTTGGCCTCCTCGCTTTCCTTTCATAAGCTCCTAAGGCTGGTTTCAAAATAGATGTATTTGAAAAATTTGCTACGGATTGAAAACGCAACCTACTTAGATACAGTGTAACCCGGATATAAGAGACCCGGATATAAGAGAAACCCGGATATAAGAGAGATTTTCTCTGATCCCAAATTAGAGCCATACGTACCTAAACAAAATAGACCAAACCCGGATATAAGAGAAACCCGGATATAAGAGAAACCCGGATATAAGAGACTTCGTCTCCGGTCCCGACAACTCTCTTATATCCGGGTTTCACTGTATTTGTTGAGCATAACCATTGCTTTGGTGTTTAAAATTGAAAATTTAATTGTTGGTGACACGGCCAATATCATTAATTATCCTCCTCTCTCTCTTCAAAATTTTCTGGCTGGGTCATAATTTCAACAATGTCCAGGTCACTTGCCTGTCACTTGCCTGTTTATACCCAGTGTGTCGGCACTGAATCTATTCGTTTATTCCTGTTTGATTTACATCGATGTTGAACGCGGGAAATTGCTCAGTAAAATCTCAAAACGTATGGCGTACGGCCATATCACGTTGAAACACCGTACGATTCCCCGAAGTTAAGCAACGTTGAGTCTGGTCAGTACCAAGTGACCGCTTGGATATCGGGTGGCGTAATGGATAATGGCTCGGAAATAGTAATCGGAGAGCCGAGTTCAATTTCCAATCGGGTTCGTTATAATCAATTACGCGCATATACATTGGGAAAGGTATTAATCAACTTCTCTCTCCAGCTATGGGTTATTAGTAAGACTTGTATAACAAAATCATTGTTATCTAAAAAATATAAAATTATAATCTAAAAATATTTTCTGGCTTTAAATAACCTGCAAAGGTTTGATAAGCCGTAAAAATGAATGAATCAATCAATAAAATACTGATTAGCAACATTGCCATATCTTATAGATTTATTTACATTCTATGGAATATAAATATATATACATTCTATGGAATATAAATATATGGAAACTACCGGGGTCACAAAGTGAGGGATCAGTTTATGTATTGATTGTAATATAGACTTGATTCCCCCACATTATAATTTCTTATTTGTTTATCAAATTTTGATTAGGTATGAATCCATTTATTCTCCCCCAGCTATGGGTTAATTAGCAAGACTTGTATCACTTATTCATTATTATTGAAAAAAGAAAAAAATCGTACAATCTAAAAATACTTTCTGGCTTTAAATAATCTGCAAAGGGTTGACAAGCCGTAAAAAACGAATCAATCAATCAATGAAATACTGATTAGCTACATTAGCATATCTTTTAGATTTCTTTGCATTCTATGGAATTTATATTATATTTATATAGAAACGACTCTGGCCAAAAAGTGAGGGCTCAGTTTATATATTGATTGTAATGTAGAATTTATCCCCCACATTATAATTTCTCGTTTGTTTATCAATTTTTGATTAGGTATGAATCCATTTATTCTTCCCCCAGCTATGGGTTAAATAGTAAGACTTGTATTGCGAAATCATTGTTACCTAAAAAAAAATTCTTACGATCTAAAAATATTTTCTGGCTTTAAATAACCTGCAAGAGGGTTGATAAGCCGTAGAAAACGAATAGATCAATCAATCAATCAATCAAATTCGTCTGTGAAAAACATTAAAATGGGTTTGTTTCGGATTATTTCAAAGAATTACTGTTAGTGTAGTCCTACTAATAAATAAATAGCAAGGCCAGGGAACATATCGTTCGAAATCGTTTTATTAAAAATGAGTGATTAAGAATTAAGTGTTTAGCCGATGATGCTACATAAGCGTTGGACATCGAAGGGATTTTGTCCAATGCCTTGAGAATAAAGAAGATTATATATATATATATATATATATATATATATATTAATATTATATTGTGATTTAAAAATAAAAGAAAGAATAAGATACTCGTTCAGAAAAAAAAAGAATTTCTTTATAGAATACCAAACAATGGCTCTGATAAAAAAAAAAAACTGTGAAAATGTGTGGTCGGTCCAAGAGAAGAAAAAAAAATCAATTTTTTCCCTCTTGCGTGATGAGTCGTAAATACTGCATCGATCACGTGATATCAGTTTATGAATGACTCGTAGTAGTACAACCCGAATGAATGAACGAACGAACGAGCGAACGAATGACGGAATGAATGAATTCATGAATGAATGGATGAGGTAAGTGAATATAAAAAAAAAAAAAACTTATATTTCCAACTAAATAAGAAAGAAGAAAAAGAATGAAAAAAAAAAAGCCATAAGAAAAAAGAAGAAAGAAGGAAAGATCGAGAAATGATTTTGGTACAAATATAAACAAATTTAATCGGCTGATAATTCTGTTCTCTCATTTCATGGTTTTCTAAGTCTCGTATCGAGCCAGAATTAAAAAAAAAAAAGAAGATTATATTGCGCCAAGTTTAGGATCCCTACCTTACTTAAAAATCTGATTTCTAAATTCTAGATTTCTAGCACTATCAGGAAATTCGCAGCTATTTTAACCACAAAGCCGTCTCATTGTTTATATTATGAAAAGGATTGTATCATCCGAGACTGAAGATATCCGGACTGGTATACTTGATGGGTGGGTCTTGTCTCTTGCTGTAGGGATTTAGCAATGTCTATCTCCCCCTCTTATTTAATTTGTCTTAACCTGGAAAAGATCGGAATTTTTAGAAAGACAGAATGAAATTCACTTCACAGTTATTTTTTTAACCAAAGTTAACCCAGTACAAGGCTCAGAGCCTCTCAAGATAGAGGGTTACTAAATTAGGAGTGTGATATGAAGTGAAAATAAATAGTGACGGACCCTAAAATTGAAGAGATTAAAACTGTAGTGTTCGGGGAAACATCCCCGCAGGAGTTTGTTTCACAAAGAAGCGATTTTTTGGGGAAGAATATTTCGAAGTGAAACTTCATTCTTAACAAAGAGATACGTAGGAAATGGAGGCGATTCAACCAAGTGGATGTAGTCTGGCGGCGCCCATCTCCTCCTCGCGTATTTGTTATAGACTAAATGCGTTACTTGCGAACTGGATATTTACATTTTTTTGCGCTTCTATGTATGCCTAATGCGACTGACAATAATATAATCAAGATGACTGGTAGTGGGACTTATCACAGGGTGAATTGAATTCCTGAATTTATATATATATATATATATATATATATATATATATATATATATATATATATATTAGTGCGCGGTATGTAAATTGTTTCGGCTATGATTTTGCAACTTTTATGTCCGCTCGTGAAGGCCATTAATTGTTTACAATGAAGTTAAAGAGAAAGTTATTTAAGTTGTTTTTTGATGGTTATCCTAAGGGCTTCGAAAAAAAAATCTGCGAAAAAAAGACGTTAACAATATCGGAAAAAAAAATTCCTCTTGGAGGATATCAAGAAAAATAAAAAGCAGTTGCGGTACTAAACCCCGGTGTGTATCGATTTTACTTACCTTGGTTCTTCTCGGTTTGTTGTGATCCTGCTCCGGCTGTATTCAAACCGGTGTGGGCGGAAAATGTTGACGGAATTTGTGGACCCACAGGTAGGTGTCGCGAAGAGGACTCAGAGGGTTGATCAACCCAAATTGAAGACAGTGGACTCAGATATGTATGTGGCGAGGAATACGTAAGCGAGTGCTTACTCGGTGACGATGAGCGAACTCTCAACAATGATGAAGCGTCCAATCGGTCCTCCTGCACTTCCGTTCGCAAACGGATTTTGCAAACTTCGTCTCCGTCTGAGTTGTGCATTGATAGTCTTAATAGACTGATACACAACAACACACAACCTAATTTAATATATATATATATATATATATATATATATATATATATATATATATATATAATTATCCGTGATGAAGTAAAAACTACTTCTTGAATGTTTCTTTAAGTTGGTTAAAAGTAGGTAAAAAGAACCAAAAAAGAATAGGGGGGTGCTTTTCGATGGTTAAAAAAAAACAGTTTTGGGGCCTGCTCGTGTGGGCTCAGATCCAGGAAATGACAGCGAATATTGGTGACGATAGTTAATGTAAGGCTGGCGACAACTTCACATGGACAGTACATGTGGAGGAGGCGGACGCTTTAATAATAATAATAATAATAATAATAATAATAATAATCAGAAATCATGTAGGAGTTTTAGTATTTGGGGTTATCGAAGATTTTACAACTATTTTAGTCGCAAGTTTCAAATTTGTAGCAAAAGTAGTTGCTAAAATGCCATCTCGTCACGGAATAAATAAATTGTGGAGAATTCTTTCTCTATCTCTATCTCTGTGTAGCATGTCTCTTCAAGGCGTCGACTGACATGTCTCTCCACAGCTTCCTTTTTTTTGCGGAGACTTAGTAATAGTGCAATAATTTCTTTGCTAATGAATATTATTTTATTTTAATTTAATATTTATTTTTTGAAATGAATTCAAAATTAAAAAGAAATCTTTATTTTGAAAAAAAAAAAAAATAGACATGATGTAGTTTTCCTAACTATGATTCCACGTGTGTAAAATGGATTTTAGAAGCACGTAATTATACTAACTGCTGTCTTTTGACCAACTTTATATCTGGTAGTTTTTGATTGATTGTTTCGTTTTTTACGGTTTGTCAACCCTTTGCAGTTTTTTTTAATGTTAGAAGATATCTTTAGATTCTAAGAATTTTTTTTTTTAGATAATGATTTTTGCGATACAAGTCTTACTAATTAACCCATAGATGGGGGAGAAGAGGGAGGATTCTTACTTTTCCGAAATGTTATTTGCGCGTAACTGAATTTAACGAACACAGGTGGATTTGGAACTCGAGCTTACGGCAATGGGGATAACCAAGCAGTCACCCATCTAGATATTGAACAGGTTCGAATTTGCTTAACTTCGGTGAACGTATGAGAATCGTTTTTTTTTTAAAGTGATGTGGTCGTAAAACTCTAATAGTGTAGCGGAAGAAAATTCTCGTTATTACAAACAGATTTTTCATTGGTGTCATTTGTGATCGGAATAAGGTTAATGCTTAGAAAAACATTTTTTCCTAATTAAATAATTACTAACATTTCCAAAAATGCAGATATTACATGCAAATTGGTATTAGCTCTTAAGTTAAGACTTTGGTGTATGTAGATTATTATTATTATTATTATTATTATTATTATTATTATCGTTTTTTTTTACCAGTAGTCAGCGGTAAATTTAGCTTGAGTCAATGCGGTAGCAAATCACAATAAACCAGGAGACTCCTCATTACTGAAAATGATTTTAATAAACCGTCGTTTTCTTCGGGGCTGATCCCAGTGCTCCGATAATACTATCACCTTCTTTTTTTAAATGATTATATTACCAACAGAAGTTATTTCCCAGCCTTTATTAATTCACCTTATTTAAAAACGACATTCCCTCCACTCTAATCGAACAAAAATACAAAAAGCAAAAAATTAAAAACTTAAGAAAAAAAACCAAAAAACTGTTTGTTAAACCTGATTTTACAAGCATTTCAATAAAGAGCGTGTCTTTTTAAGCGGAGTTTGCAACCTGAAAAAAAATGTACTTTGACATTATCGCTTTGGTTGTAGACTGCCTTTTACGATATGTAAACATTTGATGTGCTATTAAATGTCAAATTTTGGATGGGCCACACAGTGAGGATCGAACTCATGTGTATTAATCAAACTGATTAAACACACTAACATTTTAACCTGAAAGCCTCTTGTTTTTAAATAAAACGGATTCCGAGTAAGTGAAAAATAAGTATCAAAAAACGAAAAAACAAAAAATAAAAACAGTTTTTTTTTAAAGGATTTTATCACCTTGTAAACAAAGGAGGATTTTACAAGCCGGAAAAAGTACCAGATTCATTGATATAGAAGTAACGACACTAAATAAACAGATATAAGTATTTTTCTTGTGAAACTTTCTAAATTTCACAAGATGTAGAAAAAGTTTACACTAAAATTGTATCATCTTTCTTGAAGATGTTTAAACACTCTTTCTTTCTTTCTTTCTTTCTTTCCCTTTCTTTCATTCTTTCTTTCTTTCTTTCTTTCTTTCTTTCTTTCCAGTACCCTTTCGTACAAGAACGTACATGACTTTTCACAGCTTTCAGCTTTTCGCTTCGCTTGTATGAGCAGTGGTAATACTTTTAACGCAACAATTTACGCAGCACTTATTACGATGAACCGCGTTACTTAAAACGATTACTTTGTAATTTGTAAAAACAAAATGTCTTAAGTGACAATATCATAAATCGCAGATGGCTAAAAAAGATGTTATCGTTGATTATTTATTGCTAATTTGTTTGCATCACGTGGCAATAACTGTCGCTAAAATGATACACTAAAATAAGGAATCAAGAAAAATCGTTTCAAGTTTTCGAAATATTATTGCCTTTTAATATTAATCGTGATTTTTTATTTTTATTAAAGACAATCGTGCTAACTAAGGTAAAAGATTCGGAAACACAAATAATCTGGCACAGAGCTAACATAGTAGTTCCGCTAGTAAGAATTGAACTCGGTACGATACTGAATGATTTGTTTATTAAACCAATTAATCTCTGCTCTACAGTTGGCGTGTTGTCACATTAATAGCAGTTGGGTATATCGTTTTGATATTAAATTTACCAGCAGAAGAATATTTTACAAGAACAAAGATTCCTGTGTTTCAATTGTTTGAACAGTAGACAAATTTGATATTTATTCATTGTGGATTTTACAAGCACTGTTTTTTTTTTCTTTATGAAATGTTAATTTTATTTTTATCTTATTTTTTTTTTTACATATACTTTTGGTTAACTGTAAGAGTAACATCATTAAAACACAATTCGAGGATTTTAGAAGTATATTGGTAATATCCAAAGAACGTGAATATCTGGTGTTGTAGATAATTAAATAGTGTGCTTGTTTCGAAACGACAATCTATCTATCTATCTATCTATCTATCTATCTATCTATCTATCTATCTATCTCAGTTTATTCACATCATCTTTCTATGTAGCTAAATCTCTAAATATATATATATATATATATATATATACATACCAATTATTAATAAGTAACCAAGAAATCGTTTTAAATTATATATATATATATATGTATGTGTGTGTGTGTGTGTGTGTGTGTGTATGTGTGTGTGTTTGCGTGTGTGTGTGTGTGTGTGTGTGTGTGTGTGTGTGTGTGTGTGTGTGTGTGTGTGTGTGTGTGTGCATATGGAAACGCATGCTAGGGATGCTGTTGTTTTAAAATTATTTCTAAAGTAGGGTGTTACAGACCACAAACAAGATCTATCTATCTATCTATCTATCTATCTATCTATCTATCTATCTATCTATCTATCTATCTATCTATTCCAATCTCTTCATTATCTATCTATCTAGCTAGCTAGCAAGCTATTTGTTCCAATTTCTTCATTATCTATCTATCTATCTATCTATCTATCTATCTATCTACATACACACACATACTAACACACACACACACACACACTAATACACACATAACGAAGTTCTCAATAAAAGTAATTTCAAACAGAATTTGGTTTTACCAGGAATCTTTGAAATACAATACAACTAATAAAACCAAAAAACAGAAAAAGAAAGACAATATGTTTAACCCACCTTTCTTTAAACTGTCTAATCTAAATATTAACAGATATTTTCTACATTTATTCGACAAACATTTTAATCATAATAAGCCTCTACAAAAATTTTCAATAGAAAATCTCTAAAAATTAGTTATCCCTCCACTAACAACATACATAATATTATTAACTCACACAACAACCAATTCTTAAGAACATTTTATGACACCAACACACCAGAAAACAAGCTTCATTGTAATTGTAGAACCGGAACTAACTGCCCTGTTGGAATTATCTGTAATTCGGAAAATCTGTAATTCGGCATACCTAGCTATTATTTTTCCAAAGGAAAAAAATCAATGATAAAAAGTATAAATAGTAGAAACTTCCTGCCTATTCGTGGCAGCCAGCTATAGGGTCTCACTCTGGCCAGTAGAAAATGGCCTCAAACTACATGAAAACTGCCGTAGAAGCATGAAAAAATCTATTATTTCCACTATCGATGGGAGTTGGATATATATATATATATTCCAATCAGGAAGCATTATTGGTGAAACAAGTTCTGTGCCGAACGCACCCTTGCTGATAACAGGGTGGGTTTCTCACTTTTTGTCATACATTACGGGAGATGGGTGAATCAGAAGCTTGGGCTAGAAGAAGGTTGTAAATATAAACGAGGTTTACATTTGGCAGATTCTGTAGAAAACCAAAACAGATCCCAAGAACTAACTGTTGCTCCAATTTAGCGAAAAGGCCAAGACCAACTTTGCATTTCCCAACTCCCATCGATAGTGGAAATAATAGATTTTTTCATGCTTCTACGGCAGTTTTCATGTAGTTTGAGGCCATTTTCTACTGGCCAGAGTGAGACCCTATAGCTGGCTGCCACGAATAGGCAGGAAGTTTCTACTGGCCAGCGTGAGAGCCAACAGCTGACTGACACGAACGTTAACTAGCATGCTAGCATGCAAAAAATATCGATAGCTGCATTCGTCACAAGTAGGAAAAATTTAAATCTGCATGGCACTTTACTCCAATTGGCTCATTCGCTTGCTTAAACTCAACGTTGATTCTGATTCCGCAGAACTGGGTTGGGTGTAAAAAAGTATTTATTGTTAACATTCCTTTTCCATTCGGTTTTTCCAGTTACGAGTTGTTTTTTTTAAGTTGATCGTTTTGTGTTCATTT